AATTTGCACTGAACTTTTTCAGTACTAAAAACTGAATCCAGTTGCTTGTACATGTTAGCAAACCTACCATTGAGCTACAGCCCCAGCCTTTTTTATTTTGAGACAGGGTCTTGCTAAGCTGCTCAAGCTGGTGTTGAACTTCTGATCCCTGTGCTGCAGCCTCCCAAGAGCAGGAGTTGCTGGGATTGCAGGCCACTTCCCACATTATTGACAATACCATTTACACTCTTCTGGAGAGTCTGGGGGCCTTGCCCGTCCTAGGTAAATGCATTATCACTGCACTGCGGAGTGTCAGAGTGTCTGTTTCAGCACTCACCAGCAGTTCCCTTGTAATGAAACTTTCTGGTCTTTCTCACATTGTGTTTCCAAAGATGTTTCCAAGTGTTTTGGAACATGAGTCAGTCAAGGGCAGGGGCCAGGTGCTTCTCTTTTTCCCTTTCTTTACATGAGATTCCTAGAAAACTTCTGTGCCTTTCCCCCTTAGGATGTTATTCTTTGCTTTGAACCAAAGTTTTATGTTCCATTTTATTTTGGATGTAAGCAGTATAAAGAGCATTTGCCAGGGCTGGGGATATAGCTCAGCGGCACAAGTGCCTGCCTGGCAAGATCAAGATCCTGAGTTTGATTCCTAGTACCAAAAAAAGAAAAAGAGCATTTGTCTTTTTTATATCATTTGTTTGTTACGCCTCAATGCAAACACTAGGAGTTCCAGAAGAAAATGGCTTTGCACAACTCATTAGGCCTAGGGGTTTGTTTTGTTTGTTCCTTTGACTCGATCATTTGGAAGGATAAGATTCATGGAGCTGGCAGTTTCAAAGGCTTTCCTTTTATTAGAAATGTCACACTTGCTCATTTCTAAATTCTTCGAAAATACACAAGTTCAACAATACAATTAATTTCCTTTAAGGTATAATATAGTACAACTGATAATCATAGGTGAGTGGCAGCACTATTGCTCCACACATTCAGTTCTCATCCAGGAATGTAGGTCACAGTATCTTCTTCTTGTTGTATTCTACACAGCTAAGTTATAAATATTACAGGCAATTAGACAGGGCTAGACCCTCAGCACAGAAGGCAATTGTGGCTCAAGGCCAAGCTTCAAGAAAAGAACGACTACACCCACATACTTCCCCTGTGAACAGTGACTGATATTCTAAATAGGTATCAATCACCTTGGGGTGCAGAACCAAAACCTCCCTAGCCCATTCATTCTATCCATGTATGTTTGCTATGTGACTTGCTTCCCCATAGGGTCCCCATTTAATCAGTACCTAAGCAATTGGTTCAACATAGTTTTGTCCCACCTCACACCCATCCTGTTATTTTCCAATGAATCAATATTACCTAACTGGCTATACTTGTAATCTTATTGATTATAGTTCTGTCCCACTTTCCAGGCCCCCTGCTGTCTCAGAAGCTATCTTTTTCTAAATGAATTCTTCCTACTCTTAACCTCCATTGTTCCTAGAATTCATTTCATGACTTTGGAGAACATGAACTCAGCATTTCAGACATCTAGCAGGTTGAGAGTTATATTTCTGTAAGGTCAGCAGAGGGAGCAGGTAACAAGGCAACAGAGAAGGGAATTTTACTGGAATGGGAGTGACAAGCAGGACTCAGGGCAGAGACCCCATGCACTCCAGGTTTACATAGGGGTAGAGGTGCAGGACCATTATTGTGCAGAAGGCCTTGTTTGAGCAGGCAGGACATTCTTGGGAGGGGCTGACATTTGTGGTTTAGGTTAGAGCAAGATACCTGTCAGGAGGTAAATTACAGATGTCTTGTCGGGGAGGTGGGGTTGGCTTTTGTAGTTTTGCCAGGGGAGTTGGGACACGAATGGACTTAACAATTTCCCTTATAGTATCTGGATTATTTGGAGGTCCTATATCATCCTTATATCATATGCCCTATATCATTATGGGCCAAAGATTTTTTTCCACATGAATTAAACAGTAACACCTAACATGTGCTAGGTGCTTAGGATGTGCCAGGCACTGTTCTGGAAAGTTTAAATGCAGTAATTAATTCTGAGATGCAGTAATCCTAAATATCATAGCATCAGATAAATTTAACAAAAGCTACTTATGATGACAAACCAACAGCCAACACAATATTAAATGGGGAAAAACTAAAAGCATTCCCTCTAAAATCAGGAACAAGACAAGGATGCCCACTGTCACCACTTCTATTCACCACTACTCAAAACATTAGGCAGAGCAATCAGACAAGAGAAAAAAGAAAAGGGATACATATAAGAAAAGAAGCCCAGGCATGGTGGTGCACGCCTGTAATTCCAGCACTTGGGAGGCTGAGGCAGGAGGATTATTGCTGAATTCCAGGCCAGCAAGGGGCTATCTCAAAAAGACAAACAAAAACAAAAACAAGCAGGGTGTGGTGGCACATGCCTATAATCCTCAGGAGGCTGAGGCAGGAGGATTGTTGCAAGTTCAAGACCAGCCTGGGCTACAAAATGAGCTCAAGGCCAGCCTGAACTGCACAGTGAGACCTTGTCTCAAAAAGACAAAAAAAAAAAAAAA